GAGGCGGGAGGATCGCATCAAGGATCAGCGAGTTCAAAACACACAGAACACAGACCCCGTCACATACATAAAATGAGTTAATTGGCCCAACATAATATTATAAGAAACAAAATTAGCCGGAGCTGAGTGGCCAATGCCTGTGTCCCAGCATACTCAGGAGCTGAGGCAGAGAGGATCGCTTGAGCACCCCAGGAGATTTGAGCGTTGCTGGAGCGAGAGGCTACGCCCGGCACTCACATAGCCGGGAGCGCAGAGTCGCTCATGTCTCAAAAAATATAAGTAATGATCACAGTCTATTATACACAACACAACCGTACACTCCCCCGGCGCCCCTGACACGGTCCAAACACACAACAGGGCGCTTGGTCAACACACAACAGACCACGCACGAGAGCGCGCCAGAAGCGCACTCTTTCAAGTCCAGCTCTGCCTTACACCGCTGTGTGGCGTCGGGCACACCGCGCCTGTGGCCCTCTCTGAGCCCCGGAAGAATAAAACCAACAAACACACACACCCCAGCGAGGCTTCTCACCCGAGGCCGGCCAGCACTCACCCATGCCCAGGTCCAGCAACCAGCCTGGCCGCCGCGGGAGCGCCGGAAAGCAGCGCAGCCGGCGGCAGGTGGCGTGCGATACGCCAGCAGAGGACACGCGAAGCCGCAGCCAGCAGGCGGAAGGCGACGGAAGAGCAGCAGCAGCAGCAGCGGCGGCCACGGCGTGCTCGGCCGAGAGGCCGTCCCTCCAGCCCCAGCCAGGCGCAGCAAGGTGGTCCCGCGGCGGCAGCATCCCTGGGGGGCACAGCGGGGGTGGGGGTCAGGGGCGGCAGGCGGGGGGGCGGGCGGGACCCGCCCATGCGCCCGCCCGCCTCCAGCGCTCGCAGGGCTCCTCCCGGCCTCACCTCACCGCGGGCTTGCCGCCCATGCGCCACCGATCCCCACGCGGCAGGTGGAGCCCCTCCGGCCCTCCTGCCCCGGCCTAGCCCGTCCATGGCCTTCCCACACTAGAAGGGCCCCTCTCTGGCCCTCCCTCCCGTCGGGCTGCCCGCCCATAGAGCGCCCCGCCTCCACGCTCCACAGGGCCTCTCCTGGCCTCCCAGCCCGCGGGAATGCCGCCCATGGCGCCCAACCGGGCCCCCAGGCTGGCAGGGCCCCCTCACCGGCCACTCTGCCCCCGGGGCTGCGCCACGTCCATGCGCCCCGAGTCCTCCATGGCCTCCACGCTGGAGGGCCTCCTGGTCATCCCTCCCGTCGGGCTGCCCGCCCATGCGCCCCGGCCTCCATGCTGGCAGGGCCTACCTCCTGGCCTCCCAGCCGGCCATCCCCTGCCAGGGGGAGAGCGCTGCCCGGCCCATGCACCCACCCCAGCCTCCATGCCTTGCAGGCCCTCCGGCCTCCCTGCGGGGGGGGGGAGGGGGGGGGGGGGGACCACGCCCACCCGGCCTCCCGCCGCGGGGCTGCCCTGCACATGCTAGCGCCCAGAGCTGAAAACTGAGGACCCCCTATAAAAGGAGCAATCTCGACCAACCATCGTGCTCGGGTGCAACACGCCCCAGCCCCCTCCCCTCTCCGGGCTGGGCGGAGTGAGGCGGGTCCCACCGCCCCGCCAGCCCCCCTCTGGATGCAGCTGTGGGCCAGAACTGCCCAGCTGCCCACAGTGGAACCGGTACTTATTGGCTGATCTCGTCTCCCTTCCCCTCTGCGCTCTTGCTCTCATTCTTTTGCGTTTTTGTGGGGTTTTTGTGTTTTTGGTTTTTTTGGTGGGGAGGAGGACAGTCTTACTCCTGGTTCCCGCCCGGGCTTGAGTGCCGTGACGTCAGCCTCGTCACAGCAACCTCAGAACTCCCGGGCTCAGCGATCTCCTGCCTCAGCCTCCCGAGAGCTGGGATACAGGCATGCGCCACCATCCGCCCGGCTCAATTTGTATCTTTTTTTATTTTTTTTTTGTTAGAGACGGGGTCTCGCCATGGTTTATAACCCAGGCTGTCTGATCCTGGCCTCAAGCGATCCTCCCCACCTCAGCCTCCAAAGTGCAGGGATTACGGCACGAACCATTGCTCCGCCCAAGCACGATGTTTTCGGGGGGTTCACCCATGTTGTTAGTCTAGTTGTATCTGATGCCCTTCATTCCTCTACTGCTGAGTAATCATATCCAATTGCACGCATTGGTCACCTTCTGTTACCCATTTCTTCTGCCCCATTTGCGGGCTGTCTCCATCTTTGGTTGTCAATCGAAAGAGACCTTAATCTGAACAGCGCGTGCCACCGTTATTTTAGTTATCCAGCTAATTTCTTTCTATTTATAGTAGAAATGGGGTCTCACTCTTGCTCAGGCTGATTTCGAACTCCTGACCTTGAGCAATCCTCCCACCTCAGCCTCCCAGAGTGCTGGGATGACAGGCGTGAGCCACCGCGCCCGGCCAGGGTAATTCTTTTAGACAAGCGGTCGAGGAGGGGCGTCTGAGGTTGGCGTGAAGCGAGGAACTTCCACGAAGGGGGATTTCTTATTAAAGGCACGCATGTACACACACACACATACATGCACACGCACGCCACGGACATCTGGGATCTATCTCTGACTCCTTCACTGCCTGCGGATGGGGTCTGGGCCTCAGTTTCCCCATCTGCACCTGGCAGGGGTGACTGTAAAAAGATGATCTCTGAAGGCCAGGCTCGGTGGCTCACGCCTGTCATCCCAGCACTCTGGGAGGCCGAGGCGGGAGGATCGCTCGAGGTCAGGAGTTCGAGACCAGCCTGAGCAAGAGCGAGACCCAAAAAAAGCAAAGATCATTTGGAGGCAAAAGCAGAGAGCGAGATTCGAGATCCAGCCTGGAGCGACATAGCAAGACCATCATTCAATAACGAAACATATTAAACTTAGCCAGGCGGCATCATGCATGTCCGCACGGCTGCGATCAGGAGCTGGAGTGGAGGATCCACTTGACCACACTCGAGCTCGTGAGCTATGTCACACCTGCCCTCCGCCTGGCAACGCGAGAACCCATCTCTTAGAAGAAAGAAAAGGAAAGAAACGAAAGAAAGAAAGAAGAAGAAAGAGAAAGAAAGACAAGAGAAAGTGGGAAGGCGAGGGAGGAGGAGAGGAGGGAGGAGGGGAGGC